CTGAGCATCTCACCATCTTTAATGGCTGTTATCCCCATTTTACAGATGGGGGAAACTGAGGCACAGAGGAACTAAGTGACTTACCCAAGGTTGCACAGGGAGTCTGTGGCAGCATAGAGACTTGAACCCATATCTCTGTCTAGCGCCCTAACATCTGGATCATTCTTCCTCTGCCAGATTTAAAAATGCAAGTTTAAAAAAAAATAGTGCTTATACTCAGAGCTAGTGAAAGGCAGGGACCAGAGAGCCCTCGCCAATGAAGCCTTCAATTTATCTACAGGGCAGCAGCAGGACAAGCTTCCCAGACATGCTGCTCTGCCAGCAGGCATTTGGTGCTCCTCCTCTCTAGTACCCCCTGCCAACAGCCGCCGGCTCTGCAGCGATCAGCCTCTTCTTACTCAGCCTTCCAACCAGGTCACACACAGTGCCACCTCTTCTGGGAAAACAAAAAGTCCAACAGGTAAGATCCTGCCTGTGGCTGTGGTCCTGATTCACTGCAACCCTCACATCCAGGCTCCTGACAGCATTCCACTCCCCAGGTCCCTCTGCCTGCAAGTCCTACCCCTGCCACACCCCTCCAGGGTCCTCCTGTTCTTGGGCTCTGTCTCTCCCTGGCTGAGCTAATTCTTTTACCTCTGAGCCCCGCACGAGGCCTCGACCCGGCAGGGTATCCCAGCTCTAGACAGCTCCATCACAACCTGCTCTGCACCAGCTCCTGCTGCTCCTTTGTGTTCCTCCACAGCCAAGAGATTGGCTGATGAATTCTCCCTTCTTTCCTGTACCACCCTCTTCTGCTCCAGGCTTTGTGCCTTTATAGCACCACCCAGCTCCTTCCCAGCTGGGCTTCCTCTTTAATTAGGCCTGCCCCTCCCCTTCGGATGCAACCAAGTGGGTTAATTGGCCTTTCAGGCCCCCATTAACCCTTGCAGAGCCAGGATGAGGTCAGTATAGACTCCATCACAGTGATACTTGGCAGATCTGGATGCCACCAGACAGATGCTCCCATGACATGACACTAACCCCAACCCTGTTAACAGCATCATCCCCCAGAACAGCAGCCAGCCCAGTGCAACCACCACTGCACTCAGTCACCATTGACACTGCCGTGTCATTACACATTGATATTGCAGTAGTGTCAAGAGGCTTGGGGTCTGGACCCAAAGAGCTTATGCCAGGCAATTGGGGCCATTGCCCATCTCTTACCTACTATCCTGTGTGCCCGACACTTATTGCTCCCCCATAGGCCCAGGACTCTGTCAATCTCGCCCTTCCTCCCTCAATCCTGACCTGCCTTCTTTGGGAGTTACTTGGGCAGATGCTCCTGCTTCCACTGACTTCAGCATCAGAGAGAGGGAGGGATCTTAACACTGCTGCTGCTAGACTCTGGAGTTGGGGCTCAGGATGGGAGCAGTCCTGGAGCCTAGCTACCCATGCTGAGTGGCATGCTAAGCCACTTTCTAGCTCAAGCTGCTCCTGCTTATCCAACTGTCCAGACCTGCAGGCAACTGGTGGCTGTAATGACAGCAGAAAAGCACCTGCGGGCAGAGGAGGGTGGTGTAATAGCCAACCAGCCTCACCATGAGTAACTGACAGCAGCCATGTGGGCCAGTTCACATGATTTACTCCCATCAGAGGTCACAGTGCCGAGGCCAGGTGCAATGTTAGCTAGTTACATGCAAACGAGGGTGCACTGATTGATTCAGGAGAGGACAGTATTAGCTCTTTCTGAAATATCACTGCAGCAAATCAGAGCATTCCTGCCAATCTCTCCTTCCCAGTTGGCTTGGCGAGGATCAGAGATTTCTCTGGAGCAGCTGCATCAGGGCCCGATCAAAGTCAATGGAAATACTCCCATTGATCAGCCTGGATAGGCTTGGATCAGACCTTTAATTTGTGGCTATAATAGAAAGGTTCCCTGCTATCCCTGGAGCAGCTGCCCCCAGTTTTACCCAACATGGGGGAAGTGGTAATGGCCTCCTCCGTGAGTGAATCTTCTCCCACCTCAATAGGGCTCCACTGGCAAATTACACCTCCCAGGCATCAACAGCAATTAATTGGGACCTGTGACGGGGCCATGCCTTGCCCTCATCCTCTGATGCCCCCAAAACTGCTCAGACCCACTTTCTTTTTGGGTTCAGGCTGCATGTGATTCTAACCCCATCCACCAACACCAGTGTAGTGCAACACCACAGTTTTAACCTCTACTCCAGTCAGCCCTTCTTTGCTAGGACCCTAGGAGGTCTCCCTCTCTCTAGGGAGCTCCTTCATTGCAGCTCAGCTAGCCTTGTCCTCGTCCCCCGTAACAAGTCCGTCCGGGGGTTTTTATCAGATTGGTCAGCTGAGGGCTAATTAGTTCCTTACCCCCCAGCCTCTCCTTCTGGTTAGTTAATTATTCCATCACCTGTGACTGGGGAAACTAATTGAGGCTACCGTGATCAGAGTGCTGACCCACCTGTCAGATCTCAGCACTCTGTCACAGGACTCTTGGTAGAATCCTGGACAGGAATAGCGGGGGTGCTGGGCAAAATGGAGGGAGGGATGTTGATGGAGCTGTGAGCGTGGGGGGGAAGTAAAGTCTGGGATAGTAGCCGAGGGGGAAGCTACTGGGTGGGGTTGAGGGACATCATCTAAGCTGTGTTCTGGGTCAGGACTAAGGGGCATCAATAGCTCAGGACTGAGGTTTCTTTGCCAGGATGACGTAGCTGAAGTGTGCATTTAGCCTGTTCGCACTACACCTGGCTGACACAGTGATATCAATTAGTGAACAATTAAATCTCTTGATCGACTTTAGCCCAAACTGAAGTAAGTCGTTTCAAAAAAATCTTTGCATGTGAAATGCCTCCCAAATCTGAGGCTTCTAGTTTTCATTCCCAGAACTGAAAAATATCATCTGTGCTGGTTCTGAATTGTGTGTGTATAAATCATTCCCTGGGGGTAGGGCCTTTTGTGCCAGGTTTCAGCCTGAGTGACTTTTTATAGCTGAGTTATAAACTTTTAAAGGCCAGACTTAATCATAGTGATACTGAGACAACCATTACAGTAGTGGTTTAAGGGGCATGGCTCTGATATATCTGTGTGACATCTCCAAGTACACTTAGCACAGACGGCAGCTGGGTGTCCCATTTGCAATGAGATTCCCCAGTCTGGAAGAGAGTGAGGTCTAGTGTTTAAAGTGGGCCCCAAGACTCAGGACTCTTGGATTCTAGCCTTGCCTCTCCTACTGTGTTACCCTGTGACCTTGAGAAAGTCACTTACCAGCTGTGGGACACAGGTGTAAATCCAAATAATTCCACCAAACTCTGGATTTACACAGCTGTAACTAAGAGCAGAATTTGACTCTCTGTGTTAAATGAGGATGAGAATATCTACTTTCTTCTAAATGAAGTTTCAAGAGTTGTTTGTGAAATGCTTTGGGGGTCTCAGCTGGATGGTGTTCTGTAAACCCAGGAAGTGCAAATCCAAATTCCACGTTTAATGCTGCTTGGAGTTAGCACCTTAGCATAATATTGGAATCACAGAATTATCCGAAACTGGGGCGTCAAAAGACCTATTGGGTCATTCCTCCTGTGGGTGGCCAATGGAAGTTTGTTCCCTACAATATACTCTGCAAAGCTCTGAGCCACCTAGTTCTGAAAAACTGCAAGAGAGCAGGGCTTCAACCACATATCCTGGAGTAGACTTCCCATTCCAATAACTTTGATGGTTAAGCAGAATCAGCATTTGATCAATATGAGAACAGAATCTTTCATGGAGAAACTGTCATGAATGAAAATAATACAGAACTCTTCTTGGTGTAGTTTTTCTAAATTTATTTGTTTATTAAACAAACAGAAACTACAACATGCATCAGATACTTTTCTTTATTGTACAACAAAACTACGGTGTCATTTGTAATTGCAGCGTTTCCAGCAACATCAGGCAGACTTTTTGATGTTATCCAGTTTCGCACAGTCACTAGAGTGTCGCATCATGAATTATTAAATCAGTGCTTCGTGGTAATACATAATTTCTTATCAATTATTCATGCTAATGTGCGTGTAGTTTACTTAATTGTGTTATTGACGATCAAAAGTAATTTCCTGAAAATCCTCAAGGACAGAAAATTTAATCAGCGTAACTACTTTTCAGATGCAATGCTGTTAAGTATTCTTAATTTGCTCAACAATTCACTTATTTATGTACCTTTCTGGAGGAAATACGAGTTTAATCAAACAATTAGATTGAAGAGTTAGTGTACAGAGGGGCTGGAGTGTAACTGAATGCAAAGTAATTATGTTGAAATGAAGTTGGGTTTGCCCATTTTAGACAGATCTTTTTTTTGCTCCAGAAATCTAAAACACAAACTATGACTGGAAAGATCACTAAGAAAACAATGATTTCCCCTGTCCCTTAGGACATAAGCTCTTTTTTCCTTTGGTGGTAGGAAGGAGTTGGTTTGTTGCTGTTGTTTAAAAGAATAATAATAGCTTGAATTGACAGGTTTCAGAGTAGCAGCCGTGTTAGTCTGTATCCGCAAAAAGAAGAGGAGTACTTGTGGCACCTTAGAGACTAACAAATTTATTAGAGCATAAGCTTTCGTGGGCTTCTTCTTCGAAGAAGTGGGCTGTAGCCCACGAAAGCTTATGCTCTAATAAATTTGTTAGTCTCTACGGTACCCACAAGTACTCCTGTTCTTTTTGCGGATACAGACTAACACGGCTGCTACTCTGAAACCTGTCAATTCAAGCTATTATTATTCTTTTAAAAAGAAGCAACAAACCAACTCCTTCCTACCGCCAAAGGT